TAAAGGTCGGTAAGATGTACCCCTTGTCTTTTAGGGCAGGTTTGAGATCGTGGATCTTCGTTAAGTGAACAGGTCGCTGCGGCCCTTTCATTTCTAAGGCAGATTTGAGACCGTGGGTGTTCAGAACTAAAGACCAGCTGTGATACCTACGTCTTCTAGGGCAGATTTTATACAGTGGATTTTCAGAACTGGAGGGCAGCTGTGGCCACCCACGGTTCCTAGGGCTGTTTTGACATCGTGGGTTTCCAAAACTGGGGGGTCGCTGCGGCCCTTGCGCTTCCTAGGGCAAGATCGCAATCGTGGGTCGGTGAGACTCAATGGATATCTGCGTCCCCCCCTGCCACCCTATTCGTCTTCAAGGGAAGGTTCGCAATCGTGGGTCGCACTACTTAGCTTTGAGACTGGAGGGGTACCTGCGGCCCCTTGATGCCCTCCTCTCCTAAGGCAAGTTTGCTATCATGGGTCGCTATCGATGGCATTTGTCTATCGCAGCTATACCTAGGTATCTAAATAGCACTATCAAGACCACGTCGTTGTCTCGTACTCACAGCTCGGTTTTCCTCTGAAGCACAAAGAAAGGTCATGCTGCCTGGAAGGGGACGTCGTCACTGGACCAAAGTCAATCAGGCTCTTGCTCCGTCTTCTGACTACAGCTATGTGACAATTTCTGTTTGCTTAGTGACTCTCGGAGGAGCATAAAAACCGATAGAACGACGTTATGATAATTTTCAATACAAAAGTCTAGATCTCTTACATACACTGTGACGACTCCACGTCGTTAACCGCACTGTGCAGTAACATTACCCTGCCATCGTTGTCAACACCAAGCAAACTTCAGGTCGAACCCAAAAACGATCAGACACCCACTGCTGCGCATAACGCTCAGCACTAACCCCTATGACACAGCCAACTGAACCCGCACAGCCAACTGAACCCGCACAGCCAACTGAACCTGGACAGCCAACTGAACCTGAACAGCCAACCGAACCCGGGAAGCAAGCCCTCGTTGCTCTCGAACCGCCCCCAGCACACTGTTACCAGTATTACGAGAACTACGATTGCGGCCACATGGCTTTCGAATACGATCAACAATTCCCATGTCCCACATCTCTCGATACCGGCGAGTGCGACTGTACGGATTGGACACTCACTGCACTTCCAATCACGGTAAAGGGAAACTGTATCCACTGCGAGAACGGGACAAGTAGGAAGTTGAAGAAAGCGCAGAGGGAAGCCGAACGTGAAGATCGCAGTTCAGGAAGTACGATGAGCAGCGCGGAGAGCAATGAGAGGACGAAGAAGAAGAAGATCATTGAGTTCAGGGAAGAAGATGACTAAGCTCACGTAGACGGAATTTTAGAGAACAGGATCTAGGTGTTTAGTTGAATAGTGTTTGATGTCTCTTTCCATGGTTTATCGAAGAGGTTGTCTTCTCCTTGTGATCATAGCCCATAGCTTTACCTTCTTTCCGCCAACTAGTGACACTGTTTGACGCGCCAAGTCAATGTAAAGCAGCATCACAGCAGCCATAATCATGCCATCGCAAAACATTCACGATCCGTTCCTTGACCACATCCAGTTCAAGGACACGACATCAAACGCCAGGCTCGAGGAATAGTATAAGATCTCGCAAAATGAACTTATCATGTCTGCCTCAACATCACAACCTCAATACACTTTTAGACACTTCGACAACTCTAGACTTATTTCATACCTACATTCCAAGTTACTACCGCTGGTCGGATCCTACATCACGAAGACAATATAGAAGATACGAACAATCCAAAACCATACACTCCGTCTATCCAAACATCAATCACTACCGGCACCACCGACCGTCACACCTACCACGATGAACCAAGTCCTACCCGCAGACCTCTACATTCCCCAGCCCCCAAACCCACCAAACAGGTGCGAAAGGTACTATCAGCCATATGCCAACTGCCAACACATGATCACTATCTTCGACACCATCATACGTTGCAATGTCTACAGACACAACGGCAGATGTTCATGTACAACTCCCGTTACCATTGCTTACCCAGGTCTTACTGCCCTAAACCAACCGTGCATACACTGCGGTAATGGAACGAACGGCAAGATCGAGGAGTGGGAGAGGGAACATAGGCGCGATCAAGATAGGAGGCAGCATCGGCCGAACTTCAATGACATAGATGGCAAGTTAAAGAATTTCGACTGTCGAAGATAAATGGAGTTTTGGGTCATGATATGCTGTGCATTTTTCAGACGTCGTTGTATATATTTGGTCCTTGGGAAGACTTTCTTTGTACTGTTTACTTTCAGGTTTACAAGGGACTTGGCATAGTCTCTTAGTGGGTGTTCTGCAGCATTTATACGGCTTGTGGGGTACAGCGAGGTATCGGCTTCTTCGTTCATTCATGTATGTCTTTTAGTCATATAGCCAATTGTATTCGTAACTCAGACTCGAGTTTTGTGTTCCATGATCCATCATGGACGACACCTATCCGTTCTCTTCCTTTATAATACCATCGTCATGTGTACCACTTACTACTCACCCCATCAGACACTCACTCAAACGTCCTCCTCCTCATCCCCACCTCCAACCCCAGCGGCTTCCTCAAAAACCCCTCCCTAGTCTCCATCTCACCCTGCCTAATCTCAAACTCATACCTCCTAAACACCGTGCCCACGATCAACGCCAACTCCATCTCCGCCACATTCCTGCCCACACAAGCCCTCGGTCCATAGCTAAAGGGGATGAACGCCGCTTTCTGCTGCTCGGTCACGTTTTCCCAGCGCTCAGGTCGGAACACGTCGGCGTCTTCGCCCCAGATCTCCGTGGAGTGGTGGATCGTGTATGCGGGGACGGAGAGGACGGTGCCTTGGGGGAAGTGGTGGCCGAGGAGTGTGATGCCGGGGCCAGGGGGGATCAAGCGGGGGAGACCGAGAGAGGAGGTACTATGGATACGCATTGTTTCTTTGATGACCGCGTCGAGGTAAGGTAGATCTTTGACTTGGGCGTAGTTTGGAACGGCATCTGCATCTGGGAGCGCGTCGTCGAGTTCCTTTTGTAACTTTTGGACTATGTCTGGGTGCTGGAGGCAGTGGTAGAGAAGAGCACAGGAAGTGTTGGATGTGGTATCTGAGCCGGCGATGAGTTGGGTGAGGGCTTCGGCAGTGAGTTCTTCGCGGCCGAGCTTTTGGCCGCTTTCGTCGCGGCCTTCCATGAGGCGGGCGAGGAGGTCGACGCGGTCGGATGGTTTCTCGAGGCGGGCGTTGACGCGGGCGATGGCTATTCCGGCGAGGTTCTCGATCGCTTTCATGCCTTGGCTGAAGAAGGGGTCCGGGAAGTACTTTGCGTAGGGCTTTATGGCGGGGAAACATCCGATGGTGCCACTGACTTCACCTCGGCGGTTCAACACCTCGATAGCAGGCGCATACGTGATTTGTCCTCCCTTGCTGACCTCGGCTTCATCCTTTCCCTTCGCCAGCATGCCAAATGGCTCTCCGAACGCGAGATCACCAATGACATCGAAAGCGAGGTAGTTGAACCAGTGCAGCGCATCCATATGATACCAGCCTCTCTTCTCTTGAACGCTGGCCGCCCTTCGATCCCACTGCTTCTGCAACTCTTCCAGGTTGTGATGGATATACTGCTCAAACTGCAATACACTCTTCGCAGAAAACGTATGAGAAACCGTCTTCCTCTTCCTGGTATGCTCGGCACGATCCCTCGTATTGAACAGCCCCCGTCTTATCGACACAAAAGCATCGTAGTACTCGCTCTTCAGGAATCCATTACCGTGACCGTAGATCTGCGGGATAGCGTCCGCATCCGCAATACTGACGTGATGCGGCTGAATACGAACAAGCTTTCCGTACTTCTTGTGTGCCTCATGAACGGCGAGATAGCGTTTCCCGCGTCGGCATTGAGCCAAGAGCCAGAGGTTTGTCCAAGCGGCTGGGAACGGAGAGGGGATGTCGCGGATCTGCCAGTTGCGGAGGTAAGGCAAAATGTAGAAGATGACCGGAAGGAGTAGGATAGACCACGGCGTGATCAGAAGCGTCGTAAGAAACATCTTGAGCGTCGTGTCTGTCGAAAGCCAGGTCGGTCAAGAGAAGAGCTTGGCTCTTTATCCGGTAAGAGAAACGCTCTAGCAATAGCACCGAGCCCAACGTACTCTTGTCGAAACTCTATCGTACAAAGTAGACTGACTCGCTTTTACCCTCTTGTACAAAAAGGTCTAGGAACAGGCCTCTTATAGTCGCAGATCGGCCTTTCGTCAACGCGAACCGTGGTAGTATTCACACGTGCGCGTTGCTTTCCCGACGCCAACACGCGACCAACAGACGTCAGACCCGTCTCGACTCCCTCTCCAAAAACCCTCCTCTAGCCAATCGCACGGCCCCGAAAACCATCTTCTCTAGCCGTGTCGAAGGTCCGAAGGTTTCCAAGCCGGGCGCTTGACCCCGCCTTCCTCTAGTGCGCCGAATGTTCCCCGCGACCTGGTCCATCGTCATCGGGAGCGCGACGCCAAGTCTGCGCAGTAGCCGATCAATTAGAGTCTTGTCCGAGAGTCGTGCGTTGATGATGGATGCTGATGTTTCGGTGTTGAAGAACGGCTGTGAAGTGTGAGGTGGTGGAACCTGAGACTTACCGACGTGCCTGCCGTATGTAGCTTACGCGGTGTCACGTCGGATGTACTCGAAACGCGCCGAAGGTAGCACAGAGATCCCGCGGTCATGTCTAAATTGACCTTTGGATATATGAAAAGCTTACGACAGCTACAAGAGTCACCATGTTATCATACGAAGAAAGAAAGATATTTCAGAGGGTATTAGATTAAGAAACATCGCTATCTACCTAAGAACGTCCTCCCGCTACAAATGTCCCTAAAAGAGTCAGACAGGTAAAAGGTACCGTCTACTCATACAGCAAACGCCTTGTGGTATCATGCCTTCGATCATCCATCAATGTATCGTTATCCTAGCGTGTATATCGTCCACCAACATGTTACTTAGTTGTTGTCGTCATCGTCAGAGAAGAAGTTCAAGATGGCCTTGACCGCCATAGGGCCCAGCCCGTGGGGCGGGTAGCAAATGTAGCTTGGGTCGTCGACTGCACCCAGCTTCTCACGGAACTCAGTCTTGTTGGTGAGCTTGAGTTCAGTCGCAATGGCGTGGTAGGCGCGGCTGAGCACCTTGACGCGAGTACCTTTGACGTTATGTCCTGGGCTGAACTTGGAGCTAGCACCACCACCAAAGGTGACGCTGGTTGCGCCGCTAGCAGCGACTTGCTTGAGAGCGTGTGTGACAATGTACTCGATTGAGCCACCGGGCGCGCCGGGGAAGTCGAGAGAGTACTTGACTTGCCAGCCGTGGTCAGGTGAAAGCTGCGCCATGGCGACAAAGGCAGCGATAGTGCCGTCGGGTGTGTAGGCGATGTGGTATTGGCGATGCTCCTCGTCTTGCCATGGGTGGATGTTGGTCAAATGGACCTGCTTGCCCTTGCGGTTGTTCAGCCAATCCGCTACACGAGCATCGACCTTCGCCTTGACATCTGGTGGTGGTGGTGTGCCGAGGGCATAATCGCTAATCTTGACACCCTCCTTCTCCGCGTGGCGGATCTTGCGCTGCACGTCAGAGTCCTTGTCCGCTGGGTTGTGGACAGGGTCTACACGCTGCTCTCCAGTGACGGAGAATGTGCGCCAGTTGAACTTGGTTGCAAGCACCTCCTCGGTGGCGTGTCCTACAAGAAGCCACAGTGGCTTGAGGTTGCGCTCCTTCTTGATGTACTTGAGGTAACCAGCCATGGTCTTGAGGTATTGAGACTCGTGGCAAAGAGGGTCACCGACAGTGATGGCGAACCCGTCTTGAGGTACGAAGCCGACAGCCGCACCGGTGTTCTCGTCGCGCCAGATCTCGGTGCGAGGCTCCAACCAGGACGTGTTGGTGGCATCACCGTAGTTGGCGATGAGCTTCTCGATAGGCTGGAGGTCGATCTTGGCAACCGCACGATCCTGTCCTTCCCACGGTGGATGCATGGTGCTGGCCTCAGGATGTCGCAGCTGCTTGATAACTGGCCGCTCTGGCAAACTCTTCGGGTCGCGAGGGAACATGGACGCATGGCGAATGTTTCCGAGGTTCATCATCAACATGAGAATACGCTCGAGACCGATACCACCTCCACCGTGGGGTGGTGCTCCCCATTGGAAGCCCTGGATGTAGTCTTCCATCGAACCGGGATCGACCTTGAGCTTGCGCATCTTGTCCAGCAGCAAGGTGGAGTCGTGGATACGCTGGCCACCACTGAGAATCTCCTGTCCTCTGCAGAAGATATCGAAGGAGTTGGTGACCGTGGGGTCGTTCGGGTCGTTCATGGCGTAGAATGGGCGCGCGTTGGCAGGGAACTTGTCTAGAATGTAGTAGTCGGTTCCAAGCTTCTGCTTGATGACGCGACCGAGCTGAACCTCATCCCTGGTACCCAGGTCTTCGTTCACGTCAAGCTCATTGCCATCATCGTCCCTCCAGCCGGACTCGTTCAGCATGCGAACACCGTCGGCGAAGGGAATGATGGGTGTCTGGTCCAGCCAGACCAAGTCCTCGTGAGGGAAGTGCTTCTTGATTACCTCAATCTCGGGACGGTATTGGTCGTAGATACCCTTGAAAATGGCCTTGAAAGTGCGGTCTAGCACACGGAGGACCTCGTGGTAGTGCTCGTCGATCTGCATCTCCAGATCCAGACCAGTGTACTCAGTCAAATGACGGTACGTGTTACTGTTCTCAGCACGGAAGACGGCACCGATTTCGTACACTTTGCCAAAGTCTGCAGAGATGGCCATCTGTTTGGCCAATTGGGGACTCTGAGCAAGGAAGGCGCCACGACCAAAGTAGTCGATCTTGAACACACTGGCACCCGACTCGGTAGCACCGCCCTGAAGCTTTGGGGTGTGGATTTCGATGAAGCCTTCCGAATCTAGCTGGTTACGGAAGAGCCTGCAGATACCAGACTGGATGCGGAAGATACCCTGTGAAGCTGTTGTCCTCAGATCGATGACGCGGTTGTTCAAACGTGTACGATCCGCAATCTTGACGCGGGTGTGTCCTTCCTTGTGCTCTGCATTTGCAAGCTCAGCGTCGACCTCGGCCTGTGAGACCTCGGCTTCGTTGACGTTGAAGGGCAGGTGGTCGGTGACGGCGGCCTCGACGTGGAGGGCGTGTACCGAGACCTCGACGTCGTGGATGGTGGCTCCGAGGACCTCGCCCTGCTTAGCCTTGGGCTCCTGCAGGATACCCTTGACCAGGACGATGGTCTCGGCGTCCAGGTGCTCAGCCCAGTACAACATGTACTTGGAGATATCCGCGTGCTCCAAGAGAACACCCTGGATGGTAGCGAGCTGCTGGCGGAACATCAGGAAGACGAACTTGGAGCTCATCTTCCTGAGGTGGTGGATGCGGGCGCGGAAGACAACCTCCTTGCCAACATCCTTTGCGGAGAAGTCCTGGATCCTGTGGCGGGGCTCATGCTTCCACTCGCCAGCGTAGGAGTTGGGGTCGATGACACCGTACTTGGAGCGCTGCTCGGGAGTCAGCTCAGCCAATGCCTGGTCTTCCATCTCCTTCCTTCTGCGCTCGAGCTCTTGCTCCTTCTCCATGTTCTGCTTGTGGCGCTCTTCCTGCTGGGCCTGCTTCTCGTGCTTGCGCAGCTGACCGCGGGACATGGGCTCGCCCTCGCGGTTGAGGGGGGCATCTTCGTCGCTCGAGTCGTTGCCAATGTGTAGCTTCTCCTTGACAGCTCGCATGGGGCTGTGAGAGATAGACCCGGAGCGGTTGGTCTTGTTGGTCTTGTCAGTGCCGGTACGGCTCGGGCTCTCGGTGCGGCGGTGGAGGATACCGCTGAGGGAGTTGCGGGGCTGGTCGATGCTGGTCCTGCTGTCGGTGGGCGAGGCAACGTCGGCGCGCTTGTGCTCGCCGCTTGCTCGAGAGCCGCCCAGGGTGACGGAAGAGCGCGGCGACGCGACGGGCGACTGTGCGCGGCCATTGACGGACGAGGGCGACTTGACGCCGCTCTTCTCGTCGTCCGAGGCCGAGGAGCCGTGGTGCGGCTTGAGCTTGTCAAGCGCTCTCTTGAGGGAACTCATGGCGGGGTGGTGCGAGAGCGTTGCCCGTGTGTGCGTGGTTAGACTACCTGAGCGCAAGTGGGGGCAAGCAGACGCGGGGGAGTTCTGCTGCTGAGGGCGGATGGAAGGTGTTCCTGGGCGAGGGAGAAAGAATTGCTATGGATATGCTAGCAAGGCCGGGAGACGCGAGGTTTAGTATACTGTGGCTGGCAAGGGCGCCTGGCGTGTATGCCGATGCGAGGGTGAATGGGCTATGACGTGACCCCCCAGTTTTCGGTACAAGATGGCTGCGTTTCACTGACAAGCCCTTCCTAGCGCCGAGCTTGTGCACAACACCGACCGTGCGCAAGCGTGACGTAGATGCTAGGGGAGTCCTTCGCTCTAGATCGTGCCTGGCCGTACCAGAGAATCCGCGGGTGCCGGAGGGAGTAGGGCAGATTAGGAGCGGAAGGGCGGGCGTGATAATAATGGATGGACCCCTCCATCACCACAGCACCGCGACTACTATCGCAACATGCCTCTTCGACGTGAAGATATTGATATCAAAACTCTGCTATTCTGACAGAACGGCCCGCATGCACAACCCTTTGTCTTCGCTGACACATGCCGCCCCTCTGTCCCAATCGGTAAAGCTGCTGTCTGCGCCTGTCTCGTTCCAGCAGACCCGGTGCTAGTACAGGCAATGACATGCGAAGCTTTTCGAGCCAAGATCTTCAACCCGGCCTGCAGTCCACTTCAGCCACGGGTCGCCTATGTCAGCGTCGACAGTAAGCCATTGGGCCATGCAGAGCCATCAGTCACCTCCCAACAAGCTTCGGCGCTCGCAACTGACGACCGCCGCATGTGAAGGATTAGTCGCGAGAGACGGCTTGGCGTATGCTTACTCGTATTTCGTTGCGGCGTGCCGGGTGAAACCGAGCCTAGTCTCTCCGAGCGCACATGGGAATCATCGACTTTGGCGAAAGCCATGGCATTCTGCCGGATGCGCATGAACAAGGCACAGCCAACTACCAACAACCAGTCGCGACCCTCATCTCTCTGCAACTCCAAATCTCCCTCAAAACCTGCTGCTCTGCCGCTGCGTCACAAGGCATGGCCAGCAGTTGCGAAAGCGAGATGAAGCCCAAAAATAACCGATAACATCGACGATCGTCGTGCCGCAAACCAGTTCTCGCCAGGCACGCTGCGCCGCTCAAGATCGTATTTCACCATGCAAATCACTCAAGACGCCTGCCGATAACCGCCTTTCTTCCCCCCACCAAGATTTTTGTCGGCACATGGGCATTCAGGGAAAGTGGGCTTGACCTTGGACCCGTGTGCCACATTGCGGCTGGAATTATTATGGCTTGTCTCAGCTACACTGTTAGACCGCTTTGGAGCGGCAAGTCGTCCAACAACAGGATCTTGTGCCCCACAAACGAGATTTCGTCCCGCATATGACTTGCTGCTATGCTGTCATGGCTCCTGTTTGCTTGTCACTCTACTCAGTGAACACTCCACCTTGAGATACCGCAATCTCCACAACATCACTCTTCCCCTGATGTGTACGATGGTAACTAAACATGCAAACCTCTCTGTATCTGTCCGGTGTCCTCTCTTTCTCTCACTTCTCGTCCACTCCTTTCCCAATCGTTCATCTCTCATCTGATGCGAGATAATTCTACAAGTGGTATTGCGTCGCGTGTCATAACCGCCAATCATAAGCGAGCTGCTCACATGCACGGTATTGCCTCGTTGCTACCAACGCAAACAATCTGAAGTGCCTTCAAAGTATGCCATCGCCTCTGCCTCGTTCCTTTGCTTCGCGTACCGCCTGCGGTGTCTTCAGACGCGTCCACATTATATCGCCCTTGTAGATGTAGATCCTCCAACTATCCTCCTTAATGGTAACGCCAGGTTCACCGTGCTTGGGGACCCCGCATTTAACTTCCGACCAGTCCCAGTCCGTTAGCTCATCCATCGTAGAAACGGGACTTTGACGTCTTAGTCTCTGATGGCACGACGCGTGGATTTGACTCGGGCAGTTCTGCGATATCCCTAGTTTTGAACATGTCGTAGATTGACTGCGAGATGGCAGATGCTTCGCTCGACAGCCGGGGTTGTAATTTGACCCATTCTACCCTGATGGCTTCTCTGATTGCTACCAAAGTCTCGACATCGCCGTTTTCGTAGGCAACGCGGGCGGAGTGAAACGGGAGCTCGAGGCCATCCAAGCGGCGATTGATCGAACTGTAAGTACCTCGCACCGCATATGGCATTACCCGATATATCAGTTGAAGGACTTCTTCGATAACGCCGTACGCAACCTTTCCCTGCTCGTTGTCCGTGGGTCCTGGGGCTGGCTTGGACTCTGTGATGGAAGAGAGCCACTCCTCTCGAAGTCGACCGTAAAGCTGATTGGTATGGAGGCTAGCGATGGCTGAGTGACGCTCGGTACCATGTCTACCGCAGCTTGTGTAATTTAGGGCCACCAATGTTGCTGTTTTGATGTTGCTCAGCGCTTCGAAAGGTCCTATAACCACAAAGACCGCTGCGATGATGTCTTCCTCAGACCATCTGCAGTAGTTTACCAGAGTGGGCCTAACTTCCAGCCACTCCAGCGAAGTGTTTCCTGATGTAAAGAAGTCGATAAATTTCCGCACGCTATCCCTCGCCTTATAGGCTTCGTATTCATCACCACTGATGCCCCTTCCATGCAGATCAAAATGAGCATCGGACCATCTCCGAAGATTGACGTGGACGGTAAGATGGCGGATGGATCTGGCTGACGGCGAAAATATCATAGAGAGGCTTCTGGACTCCGTACGCCGCCACCATAACTTATTTTGTAGCTGGATGCTATCTTGCGATATGTACGCATGAAATGGAGTCTCTCTATACAACACAGAAGAAGCCTCTTGATTGACCTTATGATTAACTCGTAGAATAGAAGCGGCATGAACTTGGGATTGATAATTGGGTTTAACGACCTCAGGAAGAACGTTGCGGTAAATCTTGAGGCGCAACTCAGTCGGAAGCTCCATGAAGTAGCATGGCGCGTGGGTGTTCGTATCGGACATGGCTGGAGGCTGTGTGTGGGTGTCGGAAGCTGCGAGTGTCTTAAGGGTAGCGGTGGTATACAACAGTTGTCGATTTTAGTGAGTCGAGCTGAGGACTATAGGTGTAGGTAAAGAAGTCAAAAGTTTCTGTGCTTTATATAACGCCGCTTCCCGATATACATCCGTGGATACCTGCCACGTGCCCGGTACGCGAACCATGGTTGCGCGACACCCAGAACAACGAGCTAGTAGCTATCTCGAGAGTTCGCTTGCGACTGATACTTTGGGTGAGTCAATGTATACCTATGTTCGCGTATTTCGAGTTAGTGGCACGCTGACAATGTGTTGAAGGACGACGGGAATGAAGCAAATCTAGAACTTTGCACCTTGGTCGCAAGGAGCGAGTAAACCGGTACCTCCCATTGCCTGAAAATGGCGACCTATAAACGACTGTGTGACTGCACCAACTGTATATACATATCGTCTGCTGCTCATCGACTCACTAGCATGACGCTTTGGGAGTGCCACCCCATCCTCTACGACTTACCCAGCACCCAAACCTCCCCGTTGCTCGATGTATCACTCGTCATGAACAATCTCCCCTGCGAATCCCACGCCAAGCCCGCAGGCCTAAAGCACCCAGAGCTGAAACTCGGTCCATTACCCTGGCATTTCTCTACAGCCGGGTTGTAAAAGATGTCCTGGGCCGCTGTGGTACTAGTAAGAGGCTCAACCGGAGTGTAGTTGCCGTCCGCACCAATCTTGAACTTCACAGCGACGAGCTTGAAGCCGGTGACGGGTGTGCGGTTCCAGCTACCGTGGTAAGTAACGTACATGGTCGTACTATCGGCGTCGAACTTGCAGTCGATGGGTGCAGAGTGAGGGAACAGCGTAAGCTTGGGAGCTGTGGCTGTCTGGACGCAGGTATCGTCGTTCATGTTGGTGCTGGGCTGTTGGACAAACCAATCGCCTACTTTGAAGGCCTTGTCGGTGAAGTCGCTGGGCTGCCAGACGGTGAAACAGGACGGGTAGCCGTACCAGTTGTTGTTGGGCTTGGTCACGTCTCCCATGTAATGGATCTTCTCGCCTGGGTTGTTGAAGTGAATATCTTTTCCGTTGCGCTTGAAGTCGTCGCCGCTGTTCTCTACGCCCCAGAGCCTGTAGCATTGTTAGTATTATCACGCGCGCTCATCCAAGCGAGGCTTACATGTTGTTCTTGTCGAAACAGATTCCGACGTCGTTACGCTGACCGTAGCCAGCGTTGTATCCTCCGGACACGTAGTTGTAGCCTCCGCTTGGAATCTTTGACAGATCGAAGACCTTGATAATGGCACGCGCAGTCTTGGGGTCCGACGTGGCAGAGTCAATGTTGGCATTCGAACCATGGGAAACGACCAGCAGATTCGGATTCTGCGGTGCGAGGGCAAGAGTGCGGGTCAAATGAGAGCCGCCGTTATACATGCCAGTAATGATCGTTGTTCGAGTTCCCAGTGTCCCAGCAGCAGCATCATATGGCCAGGAGTAAGCCTGAGTCATGGAACTGGCGTAGAGCGTCTTTCCGTCAGGACTCATCGCAATGCCGTGGTTCAGGTTGTTCTGCGAGACCAGCATCTTGATAGAGGTAACACAGCCATCTGTACCCATCTTATGGTACGAGATACCTTTACCAGATTGAACTACTAACATGTTTCCTACACCGTCGAACTGAATGCTACGAGGGGCAGTCAAGCCTCCCGCGACTTTTGTGGCCTTCCATCCGGCTGCGAGACTACCCTGGAATGTGGGACTACCGGCACCGGAGCACGAGGCTGGAATGGCAGCAGGCGCGGCTGGCTTTGACGTTGCAGACGGTACGACGCTTGTCACGACGGTGGTCGGGTCAGCGGAAGGACTTGCTATGGGTGCCGTCAGCAGGTTAGCATTGACCAAGGAATCAAAATTCTCGATGCGTGCAGCGTCCAGATTGTGGATCCATTTTCCCCAGGCCGCGTGGACGTTGAATGCAGAATCATTTCTGGCAGGGTCCTCGACCGAAGAGACGCCGTAGGCCCAGGCAAATTGTGTTGTACCGGTGCCATTCAATGCGTATCTTTCATCTTCGTTGTTTTGCCATCCAGTGCAGCCTTTGCACAGTGCATTGACAGTCCAATGTGTAGCGTTTGTCTTTGTGCCTTTGAGGTAGCTGTGCTCGGCGCCATCGTATCCAAGCGGTAAAGCAATACCACTGTGGGATGTTAGAATCGTCATCGTCAACCTGGGTATGCATCATACAAAGCGAAGCGAGCAGATATCGTCCCGGATTGACCGTTAGGCCAAGCAACGCTCAATGGATTCCAGACCATATTGCCACCCCATGAGAAGCCGACCCATTGATTGGCAATTGGCGCCGTGATCCTGACGATGGCATCATACGGGTCTGTAACGTTCTTCGGAAGAGCAACACCAAACGTCATCCCTGTTTCGGGCTCCGTGTACGACGAGTAACTGATCTTCGTTTCTGCATCGTAGACAACAGTAGACTGTGCCTCACCTTCTTGAGCAAAAGCTTCGTTCTGTCAGTATCAACGGCTAAGGCGGACATTGAACTCACCATAACCAGCAAGTGCCGCAGCACTGCCAATAAGCTGGGTGTAGCGCATAGTGGCGGGATCTGTGGATAGATGGGCGTAGCTATACGTTCTTGACTGTCACCCAGTAGGCCTTTCCCAACTCTTTATGCGGCCAACTCCAACATTTATCGCGACCACAGAGCGAGCCACGAGCCATGCGGGGACATGATTCGATCTCGTCAATCTGTAATTTGCATTCATTCCTCTGGTATGTCTTAGATGAAAATGTTGGAGAAAGGCTTTGGGAGGTCATATCGAACCACCAATCACTGTACTCGGGATTACGATATGTGACGGACTGCGTACACCAGGATGATCGCTTTGTAGCTTCTGTCTCGCGGATAGGTTTCAGCCTGAGTACATTGATGGAAATGGCAGGTTGATAGTCAGAGTCAGGTGTTGACATGGTACGATTGGTCAATGAAACTTGGTTCTATCAATTTTGATGAGCTGGAACCGCATTGTGACCCGGAACAATACTCGCGATATCCAGTACTCGCTCATGCAGTGTTACCGAATGACGCTAAGACTTGCAAGACCCTGGATAAGCGACGGCAGTTGGCACGCGATGCAAAGCCGGGATATAGATTGGTGGGGAGGTTCTATTGTTGCCTCGTCGGTATTGTGTGGATGGTGTTGCATTCTTCCAAATAGCCCGGGATCATTAGCGAACTCAAACGTGTGGGGAGCCTGTTAGAGCGTTGAGAGATCTAGACGTTGAGATAATCAGCTGCCCTGACTTAGTATCTAGCTTGTGGATCGACACGTCGATTAGTAACTCGAGAGGGAGTATTCGCGCAGTAGGATCCGTTTTCTCATCCAGTCAAGCTTCGTATTTCAACATCGTAAGTTATGGTACACTTTTCATCGCACGACGCGCTGCCTTTTCTTCGCATCATCTTTCTGGTAAGGCTTATACACGAGCCTTGTTCATGTACGCGTTTCCAAAAGTCCACAGGCCAAAGGTCGCGAGAATGCTCAGACCAATAGGCAGCGGCTTGCCAGACTTCATTGCTCGAGGAATAGAGCTGCCAGCGAGGATAACGGAAGCAAGAAGAGCCAACTCAACACCGTACGCTGCGCGGCTGTTGACACGGTAGCCACCGAGCATGTACTATTGTTTGTTAGATGCGCGCAAGGTGGTGATGCATGTAATGTGAGGTCATACCAGAAGTCCGACAGTGCATCCAGCGACGACTGATGGGATAGATCCGGTCCTCACGTAGCCGGTGATGCCGCCACCAGCAGTGAGAGCACCCAGGATGAGAGCGATGTTTCCGAGAGAGCCCTGAACCTCCAATTAGCATCCATTCTACACCATGACTCGCGCGTGGCAGCAATCGGTGATCACGTACCATTGTCGCGTCGTGTTCTGTTATCTTATCGTGTGATTCGTGAAATGGAGTTCGGGCAGTCCCGTGAATACGTGAGGTCTGGAAGAAATAACTGAGGATGTAGAAGTTTCTCGTAGAAAGCTGAGAGAGAAGGAAGGCTGGGCCAAGTCCATGCCATGATTTGCGGGGATCCAAACGGACACCCGAAGGACACCGAACCGCCGACGCGGTCGGTCGTCGTACCCCAGAGCTCGGACCATCTACGAACATCTGGCCTCAAGCTATCCACCAGCGGCAGCAGCATCACCACGGCGCGTCATCTCCCAATTCCACTTCCAACACCAAAAGTCTCGACACACATCCTCGAGACGTCACGAAAATGGCACCGAAACAGCGCACCACCGCCCCAACCGGCGCCCCAGCTACAACCACATCTACAACAGCTACCCCATCAGCACCTGCTCGCTCAAGCAAAGCAAACAACACAGACGCCGCCGCCATTGCGCAAGGAATATGGAACAAATACGTCGACAAGACACCCCAGCGAACTAAGTTGCTCGATACCTTCCTCGCTTTCCTCGTCATCGTCGGTGCTCTGCAATTCCTCTACGTGGTCTTGGTTGGAAACTTTGTACGTCCTCAATTCTCCCATCACATGTCCAATTTCCACAGTTCCTAGATCCGGAGTACGATGAGATTGGAAGAAATGATATACGAATTGCTCGCTAACGTGCATGGAAACACAGCCTTTCAACGCCTTCCTCTCCGGCTTCAGCGCAACAGTCGGCCAATTCGTCCTCACAGCCTCGCTGCGCATCCAGACAAACTCGGAGAACAAGGTGCACTTTGAGAATATCTCGCATGAGCGGGCATTTGCGGATTTCATCTTTGGCAGTTTATTGCTGCACTTCTTTTGCGTCAACTTCATCAACTGAGCGGGAGATTTGCGGCGTCGAAGAACAAACCAGGGGAAAGGAATACGACAGAGGAGGATACCAGACGGAGTGACATCTGTGCGATAGGTTGACAATACTACAAAAGAGAGGTCTAGGAATTGGACATGTGTAAGAATAAGAGG